GACTGAAGAGGACTTTTGTAAAAGTTGAAACGTTTCTCAGTTAAATATAGAATATTTTAATAAAAATTGTGATTATTTAAAATTGTCATCATTTAATTTGTTTGGCTTGTTCTAATACCGTATTTTAATATCTTTATTTTATTTGTTGTTTTAAAACATAACAAGCGTTGTAATTATATATTTTTATATTTATTTATTTATAAGTTTTCTGTATTAATTGTAACATTGAAAATGACCCGATTGGAATCGAAACGAATGTTTTGTTTACTTAATTTTTATATTACGAGTACTGTACAAGCGATTTTTATAATTTGTGCTCTTCGAGTCTCACATTACGAATATGGAAAATAATTTTTGTATCGTTTCAAGACTACTTTAAATTCTATAAACATATGAGTAAAACATATGAGTTATTAAAATTTTAACTATTGATACCCTACTGCAGTGTACGTATAAATATTATAAATCATACTTCTTGTCTTCTTTTCCTTCATTTCCTTCCTTTCCTTTCCTTCCCTTCCTTCAAACCTTTCTGTACTCTTTTTTTGAAGAATAATGTAATTGTGCTCTTCGAGTCTCACATTACGAATATGGAAAATAATTTTTGTATCGTTTCAAGACTACTTTAAATTCTGTAAACATATGAGTAAAATTGTCATAAAGTTATTAAAATTTTAACTATCGATACCCTACTGCAGTGTACGTATAAATCATACTTCTTGTCTTCTTTTCCTTCCTTTCCTTTCTTTCCTTTCTTTTCCTTTCCTTTCTTTTCCTTTCCTTCCCTTCCTTCAAACCTTTCTGTACTCTTTTTTTGAAGAATAATGTAACATGTCTCCTTTTCTTTCTAACTAAAAATAAAATCAAATACTATACAAAGAATCGATTCAAACTGCAAAGAATTAGAAGATCTTGAACAGCGAAGTCTTTTGCACTTTTAACCTCAGTAACCTCAATACAATTTCAAACTGTTCACGCGTGTCAATGTCAAAATCTCCGCGCGATGACAACTGCCCACGAAGTAAGCGACGCGAAACAACCAATCAGCATCGCGGAAAAGAGCCAACAATAAACTTCGAGACTTTCGAGATGACCGATACATTTCGAGTATCGATTTAACATCTTTTAATAATAGAAAGAATATGTAATATAATTAAAGTATAGTTCACATATAATCAATATATAATTAATTATTAATATATTAATATATATTAATATATTAATTAATACGTGATTGTGGTAAAAATAATTAATTGTTACCCTTTTGGTTACAGTAATTTTATAATCAAAGTTGAATGGGGCAGCGCAAGGAATTATGATAAGATTCTTCTTAATGAATTAGTAAGCTGCCCTGAGACCGCTGTTGCAACGGCGAGTTACGGTTAATGAAACGTATATCTCGTAGGACGATCTAGAGATAACTGCGCGCAGCGACAGCGAGCCGCTGCCTTCGAATCTTGGCTAACACAAAGAGAGGCTACGTGAGTCAATTGAGCGTTTATTTTTCCACTTGAATAATGAAGTAAAACATTGTAATTTAAAATTTGTTTCTTAGTATTTTTCCTATCCTTCTTTTCTTTTTTTTTTTTGAAAAGAGATATTCTAGATCTGTCGTTTACTCGCTACGAATACATACATTAATATTTTATTTATATATATTTATCACGCGCACGCGCTCAATTCATCCTTAAACAATAATCTTTTTGTGCTCATATTATTTAAGTATTATAACATATAACTATAGTAAGCGAAAATATTTGTATATTTACATACCATTGTTGTACCTCTCGGTGCAACAAGATATTAATTTGGGATTCGATCCGCTCAAAGGGTTGGAACCCACGAGGAAAACGAGGAAAGTGGTCAAGGTCGTAGAACAAACACACATTGCACCACACTTTTTTTTATTAAAATAACCCCTTTTATTTATTATAACAATTACAATTTCGAGTGGTTATTACCACTAGTTACATTTAACCCTTTATTTATTAATGTAATTACCCGATTAAATGATTACACTTTGGTTGTTACAATTCGGGTAATTGATTACAATAGTTGAATTTAATTAAAAGAATATACTCGGGTTAAAATCCTCGCTCGTGACTTAGACCGGTCGGCGACACTCGTTATCGCGGATGTTATATGACTCGGTTCTCGCGACGCGCGTAACGTATCGTTACATTTAGATGTATGACAAGACTCTCTCGCCGGTCCTTAGACCGCCGAATATATAGGCGTCGCGGAGTCATCGAACTAGCGGCATGCGTGCCGTGTGCAATGCTGACTTTGTTTTCTTGCATTTCGGCAGTTCGTTGTCCTGTCGAAATGCAAGATTTACTTTTAGCAATAATCGTTCGATATGCGTGCGGTTATTGCCTGCGCTCGATCAGTGATCGCTGTCCGCACGCGCTATGGAATTTGCAGCTCTGCATTTCCGCAAGTCGTTGCTATGCCGAAATGCAAAGGTTGCTTTGCGGTAATAATCTTGCATTTCCGCCAGCTTGTTGCTAGGCTGAAATGCGAGATTTAATTGTGGTAGCACTCGCGGGCTACAACACCATATATATGGGGCATTCCACGCCAAGTGGGCCATTCATTTTGCGAAGTTTCATGGATTTCGTTTCATATTGCTTGAACTTGAACAGTTTGATGAATAAAGACTCTATGCCGAATAATATACCTGTAGGCCAACTGGTTGCCGAACTATAGAGCCGTCAATTTTTGGGCTTTCTCGTCGCAGCGCTCTTTTCGCTTGTCATTAGTGGGCATGAGAGGCAAGTTTGAAAATGAAATGTAGAAGTTACCTTATAGAAAATTGAACGCTCTTTCACGTAAGAATACTTTTTTTTCGATCAGACCGGTTTACGACGATGTTTGTCAGTTTCGAAGTTTTCAAAATGGCGACGCGCCTAGAAGGCCAGTCTCAATTTTCTTTTAATTTAGCTCAAAATGTAGCTCCAGGTCTCTACTTTGTTACTCTAAAAGGACTTAATGGGACACGCATTCGTTTGGGAGTAAAAGAGCTAGGAAAGTGAGGAAAATGAGTGGTGCGGCAGGGGGACGGAGCGACATTGCCTCACTTTCCTAGCTCTTACTCCTAAACGAATGCGTGTCCCATTAAGTACTTTTAGAGTAACAAAGTAGAGACCTGGAGCTACATTTTGAGCTATATTAAAAGAAAATTGAGACTGGCCTTTTAGGCGCGCCACCATTTTGAAAACTTCAAAACTGACAAACATCGTCTTAAACCGGTCTGATCGAAAAAAAGAGTATTCTTACGTGAAAGAGCGTTCAATTTTCTATAAGGTAACTACATTTCATTTTCAAACTTACCTCTCATGCCCACTAATGACAAGCGAAAAGAGCGCTGCGTCGAGAAAGCCCAAAATTGGGTGGCCCACTTGGCATGGAATGCCCCATATACATATTTATATGTGATGTCTATAATTATTAAAAAGAAATGATAGTATAACTATTATGGAAAATTCTTAGATATAATTGTAGCAATCGAGGATAAAATAAAAGTGAGATTCAATTCCATAAGGCTTGGGAGGTTCTCTTTCATTTTAAATTTGAGTTTCGAGAGGTGACTTCTAAACTGTTAGTTTATGTTACGAATTCTTTTGGGGTGATTACCTTTCCCCCAAAGATAAGCCGAGCGCACAATACTCCTTTGTCTCTTCTACATCGACTCGCTAGAAGAGAAAAGATTTGATTATTTTATTATTTTATCTATTAACTCGTTAGTCTCCCAAGATTACAGAATCGTATCCTATGTATATATGTAATATATATATATATATATATATATATGTACATATATTTCATAAAGAACATAGCTATAAAGTGTTATCATATAACTATAAAAGTATGAATATAAAATATTTCAGTGAACAGAACATTAGAGATTGACATATTTTTAGAAATTATTACGTTAGGCCATTTTTGTCTTATGGTGATATAGCATTTATTGTATAACAAAATAACATTACATTGTCAAAGTAATATTATTCTTACTAGAATGTCCTATCTTAGGAAACGTACAAGTAGCACGATCTTTTATAAACAAGCAGAAGTACGTTCGCTATTATTTTACCGGCGGACGTTACAATCCCTCGAAGAGTTCACGTGAAACTTTTCGCTTTTCATGTTTCCGCCCTAGGGGAAAAGTTACATGACTGACTCCCTGCTGAACGCACCCTATGAATACCGGCCTATATCCTTGTTACTCAACTCACTTAAATATTAAACAAGAATAAATTGATACCTGAAGATTAGGTGTGTATTTCCAAACGGTAAAGGTAGAGAATTCGGTCACCTCAAATTTGGCTAAAAATACACTCATTCGATGCGTTTTTGCACGAAACGAACGAATCTGGCAATAAAAAGTGTCGCTCTGCCTTCCGAACCGAGATATTAAGGTTGACGACTGTTGAGGTTAGGAAATTTGTCACAATAGTTGCTGAAACATTTACACACAAGTGAAACTGAGTCTGAAGTGAGCAGAGTATAAAATACTCAGATTAATGACGTCACTACTTGCTTACTTTGGTAAAATTAACAAATAACAACACAGGTTTATCACTTTTAAAGTGAGTCTATGAGACTCAATAAAGGACATGGTCTCAATCTTGTGCAGTTTGTAGGTAAAAACTCAGTTGAATGCTCATCTCACTTCTGAATACAAAAGGAACGCGCATTCAACTGAGTTATGACGTCACAAGTGAGAATTATCTGAGAATCGGAGTAAATGGAAAGCAACTAATGTTTCTATTATACGTAGTTCTAATCCAAATAAATCATGGCGGCATAGCCGCCCCGAACCTAAACTTTACTGTCTATACACCCCTCTGTCCACATGGGTTATGATTTATTTGGAATAGAACTACGTATAATAGAAATAGCACGAGTAACTAATTCATTTTTTAAATTTCGTGCACTATTGTACAGAATAGTGAAACGCATGCGCAAGAGGTTACAGAGCATAAAGAAAGCATATTCATAGCGCTACATGTAGTCGGTATGACAGATTTCCTAACCTTAACAGTCGTCAACTTTAACGCTTAATATCTTGGTTCGGAGGGCAGAGCGACGCTTTTTATTGCCAGATTCGTTTGTTTTGTGCAAAAACGCATCGTATGAGTATATTTTTAGCAAAATTTGAGGTGACAAGGGTATTCTGTACCTTTATCGTTTTAAGTATTTGATATTATAATGAAATGTAGACTGATGCAGACAAAACTCTTTTGTTATCCTTATTATTTTCTTAACAGAATGGCCGGCCCACCATCTGATCAGAATAATATCGCACAGAAGACATGGGAGTTGTCAAACTGCATTGAAACTATCAGTAGTATGGACGAGATTTATAGATATGACAGGAAAGAGCAACAAGATATATTAACTGCCAAACCATGGGAGAAAGAGTATGGGAGAGAAAAAGATACTACTAATTTATAGATACAAGAACCAAAAATATTAACTGTAATCAGTATTTTTTCTTGTTTGTAGCCCCCACTTTTTCAAGGACATAAAAATATCTGCTTTAGCTCTGTTGAAAATGGTTATGCATGCACGATCTGGTGGGACACTGGAAGTAATGGGTCTCCTGCTTGGTAAAGTAGCAGCGAACACAATGATTGTAATGGATTCCTTTGCATTGCCAGTTGAAGGGACTGAAACTAGAGTGAATGCTCAAGCTCAAGCTTATGAATATATGACAGCATATATAGAAGCAGCTAAACAAGTATGTATATATACAGGATGACATTGACTTATATGAGATTGCCCATCATGAGCTGGTAGAGCAGACTGAACTAAGTTGAAAAGTCCTGTACTATTTTGTAATTTTTGCAATAGTTAATGAGATATTAATTTCTAAAGATAACTGAATAAACGCGTTCATGTGGCCTACTACTGCCAAGCATATACGTCCTTCCTATGGAACATGCATGTGGAGAGCGGAGAGTCATGATGTTTAGAGGCTCACGGTGGTGTGCGTGATGCTTATCAAGCAGTTTCCACTCTTCGTGTGCTTACTGTGCTTATGTTTATTCGGCTATCTTTAAAAACTTAATATCTCGTTAACTATTGCAAAAAAATTACAAAACAGTAGAGAACTTTTTGACTCAGTTCAGTCTGCTCTACCAGCTCATGACGGGTGATAGGTCAATGTCACCCTATATAGTAAAAATACTTGGTAAAGATATGGCAATAATCTATAGCTTCTAATAATTTATTTTTTAGGTTGGTAGATTAGAGAATGCGATCGGATGGTATCATAGTCATCCTGGATATGGCTGTTGGTTGTCTGGTATTGACGTATCTACCCAGATGCTCAATCAAAATTTTCAAGAACCATTTGTTGCAATTGTCATTGACCCTGTAAGAACCATCTCTGCTGGCAAAGTTTGCCTTGGTGCATTCAGAACTTATCCTAAAGTACGTTTTAGACCATGTTAAGAATTAAAATTAATCAATTCTAGAGGAAAGGAATCCAAAATGTTTATTTTAGTTTCAGATATACTATACTTAACCCATAACTGGTACATAAAAGTCCTAGTAACCTTGAGACATTTGTCTTATTTCTAATAATCAATAATTTGAAATGATTTCATGTTTTTTACAATCTATCTTTTACATAATTTTTTTTTATTCATGTAGGCTGATTACTGTATTTATGTTAAGAGTTTAAGTATTGCAATTATATATATATATATATATATATATATATATATATATATATATATATATATAATATATAATAACTATATATATATATATATAAAGTTGATAAATACAATAGAAAAATGAGTGGCTTCAAAATAAACAATAGAAAGGTCGAGCATATGCCACTACATATAGTTCTTCTTAGTAAAAATTATCTATTTCACTAAGAACTATGTGATGGCATATGTTCGACCTTCTTATTGTGAAGTTGATAATTTTAAAATTTCTAAAACTAGTAACAAAAAAACTTCAGTGAATCTCGAGGATTCATATGTTCCTTTGACGTTACAAAAGTGTGTTACTGGTTAATGATGTTAATTTTACATTTTCTGTTGCAAGAAATAATTAGCATTTTATTTAATTGCTTTTAGGGATATAAACCTGCTAACGAAGAGCCGTCAGAATACCAGACAATACCACTGAACAAGATTGAAGACTTTGGTGTTCATTGTAAACAATATTATTCCTTGGAGGTATCCTACTTCAAGTCTGCATTGGATAGACGACTGCTCGACTCATTATGGAATAAATATTGGGTCAACACTTTGAGCTCTTCTAGCCTATTGACAAATGCGGACTACACTACTGGTCAAATATTCGATTTGTCGGATAAATTGGAACACTCGGAATCAGCTTTGGGTAGAGGATTTGTTTTAGGCGGCACAGATCCTCATGATCGCACTACAGTGGAAAAACTTATAAAAGCGACCAGGGACAGTTGTAAAACTACCATTGAAGTTATTCATGGTTTAATGGCGCAAATTATCAAAGACCGTTTGTTTAATCATGTCGGCAGTAACGTATCTTGTGATCCTCAGCAAAAGTAATAATATTCGGCATAATGTGTATAATAATAATAAACCTGCTATGTGTATTTGTAATAAAGATATGTATCCTTGTTTAAAGTCAAAATCTTTGAAACGATTACTTTGTGTCGAAATCTTTGAAATGATTATTTTATGATCAGAATTTCTTGATCATTTTCGCTCGAAAAACTTGTTTAAGATCGAGGATTAAAATTACATAAAATATCAATCGTTACAATCGAGAATGAAAAATATCAACGTTCGGTAGTTTGTTCACGATCTTATAAAAACGTTCCAAGTACATGTATGGCAGATTTTAATGTAGGAATAAAAATACATTTTATTTTCACACCTTGATTCGCTAGAAAGTATATATACAGTATTTGTATCCTTAATCAATATTTTCATGTATATATTTATAGATATGTTTATAAAACTAATGTGTAATATATATTCAGAATAAGTAGGCAGAGCAATAACCCTAAAGAAGGGCTGATGCGCTGTGTCATAAACTTTAAGGACAAGGCCACTCAGGAACGCACATCTGCCCATTCTGTCTTATATATTCCTATACCTCGCGCGCGCGCCCACTCGTATCTCGAGCAACATATAAGGGACGGAGCTAAAATGCATACAGTATATATACATACCCATCCATTCACACGCAACATATGCGCGCGCACACAGACTCAATTGTAATCTAATCGAGAAGTTATACACAAGATATCCTGATGAAACGTACAACTGAAAGAAATGCGCTGTTGAGAGATGAATTCTTATGGTGTTACGCACGCACGCACGCACACACACACATCTATGTCGCATCATGATATTTCAGAACTGTATCAATACATAAATACCCAGATAGCAAAATGCTAGCAGTATGCCAGCAAATTTGATCATGACGTTACAGCCAGATATCAAGCTGCTGCTTCCTCATTAAGCTTAGTTTCTAATAGCTTATCCTGCCAACTTAACACAACGATAGAAATACAACAAAAATCAATCATTACTTGTTATCATATCGCGACAGCAAAAACGTCACATGACGACAGGCTATGCTCGATTTTTGTTGCGTTTTTGCTGTCAGTACTTAATTATGTCAGGTCGTGTGGTATTTTTGCCGCCTTTTTGCTGTCATAATATGATAATAAGTGTGCCAGATTTTTAACTACATTTTGCTGATTTAACATGTAGTCATGTTTTATATCAAGTTTTGATCTATTTTTTAATTTATTTTGCCAGCATGTAATGCTCGAATTCTGCTTGCCTTATTTCGGTAACGTTTGATGAATTTTTACAGAATTTTTGCTAATGTATTATGATGCAGGTCTGCTCTATTTTTGCTGTATTTCTGTTAGCGCTATACTGAAACGGTAAACCGTGTTCGACTACTGCTCGATTTTTGCCATTATAATATGTATAAATTTGCAATGCGTACTTTTGGCAGATTTGACTATCTGGGTAAAAACCTAGTTTTATCATTTTATTGTTCTCGATGTGTATCTTTTTTTCCTAACTTGTATATTCATTATGGGATTTACATCTGTTACTCATCGACAGATGTGAAAATTCGAGAAAATAAGTATAAAATCGTATGAATATTATACTAAATGAGCGAATTTTTTCCATACATTTCTCTTTTTTTCTCCTCTCTCTTCTCTCTAATTAACATATATGTATAAATAATATCTCTAAGAGTAAATAATTTGAATTGAGTAGTAGTGTAAATAGTAAAATTGGAATCCAAAAATTAGATAGTAAAAACCATGTATGTTGTTAATTTGCTATTAACTTTATGTTAGTGTTTATTACAACTTAAATTAAAAATAGATTATTGTCCTAGAAAATGATCAAAGCCTTTTCGAGTCTGAACACTGGTTGTTGGTGTGTGGTTAAAATGAAGCTTTATTGTGTCTAAATAAGTACATCAACGTTTCGATCCATGATTCGGATCCTTTTCAAGTCTCGATATTAGTATAAATAAATTAACGTTGTTATCATTGTGCTCCCTAAAACACTGCACATTTCGATATGGTATTACATATAATAATTATTAAACACAACTAATTACATTAATTGTATGTTAAGTTACTTACATGAAATAATATATAGATGATAAAAGTATATAATATATACTTATATAGTATAGATAATAAAAGTATATAATATATGATAACAATGTTAATTTATTTATACTAATATCGAGACTTGAAAAGGATCCGAGTCATGGATCGAAACGTTGATGTACTTATTTAGACACAATAAAGCTTCATTTTAACCACACATCAACAATCAGTGTTCAGTCTCGAAAAGGCTTTGATCATTTTCTAGGATTTATTCAACCGAGTCAATTTATTAATCTTTATGTTTTATAGACTATTGTCGACATATATACACAATTATCCTTTATGTAACTCATGAAAATAAGAATGAGACGTTTGACTATAATTCGCGGATATGAAATCTACCTTAAAATGAATTTTGCATTTCTACTTTGTAAGACGATTTCGCTACGTAGTATTTTGGAGGTGTGATTCCGACGTTATGGCTCCGTCAGAATTATCATTAAAATCAATTTAATACAATAATAGTTAAAACATCGTTAGAGCATTTCATAGGAATCAACATAATTCAAAAGAGACGAAGAGGTTTGATTGAACCATTAACAGAATCCCAATCTTTCTCATAATGAATTTCTTGTACAATGGGATGCAAAGCTCAACATGCATACATACGCGCGACAGATATAACATGACAATCAAAATGCAGCTTTCCAATGTTATGTCTATATTTTGAATACGAATTCGAAACTGTGTACTCGTACATAACACTTATGTATCATAGGTGTCCTGTATATATTTATTTATATTTGTATCTTCGTGTATCTTTCCTTCCAAAAAATGATATCTCTTTTTCTCGAAGGTAAAAATATGGATATTATCGTATATTCGCGTTATTGAATCATATATAGTTATAAAGAATCCTTACATGTTTTTTTTCTATTTTTCTTATTTTGCGTAAGGATTTTCTCACCTCTACGTCATTGTAATTATCTAATATTTACAAGACGATCATTCGCAAGTCGTCCGTGATATCTTACAAATACAGCGGTAGAAAAGATCGTATTTTTTTTGTTTTGTTACAGCAAGAGTTATAAGCGCCTTCTCACAGATAACTTTTTGGAGCAACGACAGAGCACTTTAGGTAATTTTCCTTCAATCCTTTCGAGTTTGTTCAATGTTCTATTGTTCTTAAGTGGCATGTCAAGCATCTGTGTTTCTGTTTTCTTCTCTTTACTTTCATTTCTTTGTTTCTTCGTTTTCTATTTCATTTAGCCTATGTGAGAAATTACGCACTAAATTAGTAACCGTAAAACAAGAAAGCAACCGATCGAGACACGATATTTTCCCTATATGTGTTTCAGTCAGAAAAAATATTTACACCGATAAGAATATGCCATCTAAGCTGGATCTCGGGTGCTTCTATATAATTGTATGTGAATTTCTTTATACTATGTATGTACATTTTTTATTACGCGCCGAAATTTTTTTAGACTTGAAACGCAACACCGCAATAATATCACGAGTTAAATTGACTAACAATTTAACGATTTTTGATGCTGTTAGCACATCTTAGATCGATCTTGATAATGTTGAATAACATATTAAAATCTATAAATAATTAATTTTTCATTACGAAAAATATTACCTCAGTCGGGAGTCGAACCCGAATCTCCAGAGATAGTATAAAAAAAATTCACATATATATATATACATATATATACAATTATATAGAAGCACCCGATATCCAGCTTAAACTGTTACGGCATATTCTCATCAGTTTAAATTCTCACGGTCCAAAAATATTTATATTTTTCCTCTTTCTTCTCTTTTCTTCCACATGTGTCCGATATATTACAAGAACGAAGCACTTACACATACTCTCATCGTAACGAAACTACTCGAGAACGATAGCTATATAGAATAGTAATAATACAAAACGTAATTTTTGAAAAATCGCGACGTTAATATCACATTATCCGCGACAGTTTTAATACATGCGCCGAAAAATTTACTTTTCATTACGAGTTTTCAGAATATATCAAACAAATCGCGCAAAATTAAATTATCATACCTTTTAACATATCCAAAGTCTCCCTTAGAAAGTTTAGCTCTTGTCCTATTAGTGCCGCAGCACATGCAATGATTTAATTGCTTAATACAAAATGTCTCTCTCTCTTTCCCTCCCCCTTCCCCCCCCCTCTCTCTCTCTTTCTGAGTGCGTGCATGCGTGCATGTGTGTGTTAAATGTAGCCGAGTTGTATGTTTCATTGTTTTTAAAGAAAAATTGCGTTTTTTCATCTTTCTTTCAGTCCGCTTCCAAAACTTTAGTAATTATTTTTAGACGAGCATATGTACAAATGTACTTTGTATAACATCTTGTCACTGCGATATTGAAACGGGAAAGTTATTGACTTCCGTTTGTTCCAAAACTGATCCAGTCAAGCCCGTATACGATATACGCAATCTCATCCTTAATTGTGCCTAAGGAACAAAAGAGAGATCGTCGATTAGAAAACTCAACTTTTTTATGTGGAAATAACATATTGAAAACTAACTCTATTCATATTTGTCACTCTCAAGACTTGAGTTACTTGACCAGACGGTGGAATGACAGTACTTGACGGCGATAACATTTGTAATTGGAATGTCTGCAAGCAAGAAATGTATAATAAATATATTGGTTTGATATACGAAAAATAATACCATAAGTGTATATATAATTGTGTCTGACCCTAGGAACTGCTGCTTGAAATAAAAAATCGGTTAAAATGGTGCTTCCGGAGTTTTGAGCCAACATATTTATGACTAACAGATCAGGAATATCGGGCGGTCTTTCTAATTTGAACGTTATTTTGAGCCCTGATTTATCCAAGACCACCATACTCGGTAGTTCTGTAACAATGCTTATGATTATAATGATTTAAATACTAATAAACTCGTGATATTACTTTAGATCTTGTGACGAACCGTTTTGCACTATCGGAGTACTGAGTAATCCATCTACTAAGAAGTTACTATTGTTAGTAGGACTGAACATCGGTGTGGATGACATCTGTGGTTGAAGTGGTAACGTGGGAGTGACAGGTGTAGGTGTATTCAAATCCAAACTTCCAAGTAAATCCAACAGGTCATTATTATGTGCTGTCGTAGATGAATTTGATGAAGAATTTTTATTGGCCGTCGCCACCGGCATCGTTATTCCTACATCTGTAGTTCCAAGTAAATCTAAAAGTACACTCTGTAAAATTGCAAATAAAAAATTAATTAAAGACATCTTTTTTAAATTTATTTGTTTTAATAAAATAGTTTAATTACTTAACCCTTTGTAATCACACCGGGGCCAAGATGACTTCAGAGGATACTTAACCAGTAATTTTTTGATAGAACGAAGACTGTGATTATAGCAATCGATTAAATGCACTCTGAGATCATTTTGACTCCTATGTGATGGTCATACAGGAAAAAGATATGTTAAAATTTTGGTTACCATGTGTATCCAATTGGATACACACCTATGGATTTAGAGAGAATGCTGCAATTGGAATTGCATTTTGCAATTGCATTTTGGCCATAATCCTACTAAATACAATCAATATAAATTTAAGGCTAATAAGCCATTTTTTTTTAGATAGGCCTGCCACGCTCTTACTAGATAGACTGTAAGTATTTAGGTCCCTATAAAATCGTTAAGGTAATGCGTAATATGTATATTGATATACGGTTAGAAAGATAAGTGATCACGAAGATCCATAGGAAACGTTCACCGCCAATGATTATATAAAGCCATGGCTGAGTGAGGATGATTTATCGGATGATGACGAACCGAGGAGCCTTGAGGACCAAGAGATATCCGGGGTGGATATCAATGCAGGACGGCCGAATACGGTGAAGTTAGTTTAGCATTCGTGTCGGTTTCGTTCTTTCGAGAAAGCGACAGTATCGACGTTGTATTTGATATTTTGATGTTCGCAGCGACATCGTGCGATACGCCATTTGTGATCCGAACAAAAGATATCCGTGAGAATTGGCGATACTATATAGATTACTTAAGAAAGCACGTTGCGACCGAGCCAGCGATTTCGGAAAAACACATCTTTTGATGTAACCGAACTTTGTATGTGGAAGAAAAGCCTAGGACAGTGAAGTAGTCAGTTTAAGACCGAGCATGTCACATCGTAATACCTTGTGTTATAATAAAGAGTTTAGAAAAGAGTCTCATGGTTTTTTCAATTCCGGCGACGAATACTTACTTCTTAGTATTTCTTGTACCAACATTCTACAATAGTATATTTAAAAATAAATAGTATATCAAAAAAAATTAGCAATTATATCATTCGAAAGAGCAAAGCTTTATATAAGAAGTTAATTTCTTAATTACATTATTATCTTTCATTATATTAATTTCTTAATTACAGTACAATGATCTTTAACGGAGTTATAAACAATTAAAATCAAAATGTTCCTTACTTAACTCGCGAATAATGTAGTAACAAAAAGTCGTAAGAACATTTTTAAAAAGATGATTGTGTAGCGAAAGCTTCAAGCTTCCACGATAGTCGAAATTTTCCGCTAATTTTTTTTGAGTACATGAAAGACCCACAAAATGAAAAAAAAATTTCGTCTTTTTAACGTAGTTTTTTATAGATAAAAATTATCAAACTCACAAAAACTAAAAAAATATAGAACCTTTCGAAAGTAGAGATTTCAAGCTTTAAAATCCTTTTTATTTAATTTAAATTTCGTTTATTTCTTTTAGCTGGAAAATTGAAACAAATTTTTCGAACAACTTAGTACACACACGCACGCATTAATATTATCAAAATTAGGCATAAAATAATAGTATGGCGTTAGAGAATTGATTAAAAAATCTGTGCGGTATATAAGATGTTAAAAAAATACAGGGTGCAGTGCTAGAATCCAGACAAAATTTAGTTTAATATTCTCGTTATTTTATAGTTTCACCGAAAGCGCCACATGACGCTAATGTTAACCACATACATGAGTAAGATATTAGTAATCTAAAAATAGCGGGACATATAAAGAATAGTGTAGAACTGTAGAGTATAATCAAAGAGCAGCGATCATCGAAAGCTTTCGCGCCGACGGACATCATCCGAAATCAGTTTTTTCGGATACCTCTGAAGAAGGATCCGCCACCCCGGTGAGAAAGATCTAAATGCGGCAAAGGAGTACGAGGACTCCAGAGCTCATAAACAGTTCAAAAGCTGATTTCAGAGAATCCAGAGATCTCTTCGAAAATTTGCATCCAAATGGTGACAAAAAGAGGTTTATGTCGATATTCTGACCACAGTGGTGAAGCCTTGGATGGAGACCTTGGCCTCAGGAAGGTCGTACATCTTTTAACAAGATTGTGAGCGTATCTGCTCACACCAGTCATTTGGTGTAAAATTGGCTCTCGGATCATGTTGAGCTCTTTTGGTCAAAAGATTTCTGGCCTTCTAACTGCCCTGACTTAAACCCTTTAGATTATTATGAGTGGGACGTTGTTGAAAGAGTTATAATACTACGAGATACCCAAATGTGGCTTCTCTCCGGGACGCTATTGAGGCAGCATTTGTGGCCATGGACCGCGCGCAATAAAAGCCGCGTGCGCGCGCTTCAGAGACTGAATCGAGAAAGTAATAGCAGGAGAATTATATCGAGTAGCAAAGCTGCGAAAGAACTTCTCAACAAACATACAAAAGTATATTTTTGTATATTGTATATTATATTTAAAATAAATGGCTTTTTCAAAGAAACATTTTTGTGTCTGAATTCTAGCGCCGCACCCTGTATAGTATGCGCTTACTGAATCGGATGTAGTTGTTGTGGTTGATTCCAGCATTGTGGACTTTTCGTCTTCCAGTTCTGGCTCACCGTTCATCATACCTATAATACCATTAGCCTGCGGTCGCGCGGTTTCCATCGGCGGCATTCTCTCGAGCAGCGCAGGCCTCAGGTGATCGTACTTTCGAAACAGCTGTGAGAACTCTATACCTCTCTGCTGTAATTCGATATGCAAATTGCTACCAAACGTATCTATGATCTGACAAATTTTCCTGTAATAAAAGAACACATTATGGATGTTGCGATTGTATACAAATACAAATCTTTTATATAAATTGATATATGGATAATCAAGAACGAGATCGAAAACGATACTAACTCGTGACCTTTCTGAAACCTCGTACTCAATTTAGTAAGAGATAGTAAGGTGTACTGTTTTGTGATCACAGTGTTCTGTGGATTCCAGAGTAATCTCTGGTACACGTCAATAATTTCATCCTCTGTCAACTGATGAAAAAAAAAGAATTTATTAAATTATATACATGTATTTAGAAAAAGTGACGAACGGCATTAAAAGAAAATATGATTAATACAAAAAATTGTTCAAATTTAACATTTCATTCATTAGCAACATCTAAATTTTTTATGCAAGTATTAAAGATGGTCGATTCTGAATTGATTCAATAATGAATCGAATCAAATATTCCCATTATTCGAAAAAATTGGATTCAGACATTCCACTTAATCATATAAATTGATTCGCAAGAAATCCAATCTTTTTTACAATAGATCTGTTCTTTTTAACTAAAGTTCTTGCACGGTTTATCTTTCTTCCTTTTCTCTTCACGTTCTCTGGAGTTCAGCTAAAAAGAATAACGAGTTGCCAATCAATTGTTGTCATTTGTTCTCTTTTCTTATCATCCTCTTTTTTCTTTTTAAGGTATGAATACTGAAGTAAAAGAAACTGCGGAAGGCCCAGAAATCCTGAGGAAGTCAGCTATGCAATTAAACAACTCAACAATAATAAAGCTGGTTCCAAACATTCATGGTGAACTGTTGAAACTGATCGATTGGAAAGGAGTGAAAATGTTAACCAGGCTGTTCAACAGAATTTACGCGACTAGGGAAAAGATTGGCTCAAATTATATTTCATCACTTTGCCCAAGAAGACAAATGCGAAGAAATGTGAGGATTATCGGATGATCAATCTAATGAGCCACATTCTGAAAATACTCCTAAAAATCATGCTAAAAAGAATTTATAGGCAGTGTGACAAACATATTTCACAAGAACAATTTGGCTTTAGGAATTGGAACGAGGGATACTCTTTTTGGAATGCAGATACTTGTACAACAATACCTGGACACGAATCAAGATGTTTTTGCATGTTATATCGAGTATCAAAAGGCGTTTGATTGTGTACAACATGATAAGCTTTTTAAAATACGGAGACGAATAGGAATCGATAACAAGAATATCGGAATAATTATAAATCTTTATTGGCAGCAGATGGCATCAGTTCTAATTGATGACTCAGAAACGAGGAAAATATCCATAAGAAGAGGTATGAGACTGCGTACTTTCGCTAACTCTCTTTAATTTGTATTGCGAAAGGATAATGGCAGAAACGCTAGAAAACGCTACAGAGGGTATTGCGATCAATGGCGAACTAATTAATAATCTAAGATATGCAGACGACACTGTATTGCTGACGTCGTCAGAAAGGGAACTGCAGGCATTGTTGGACAGAGTCAATATGGCCATTAAAGAAGCAGGAATTACCATAAACGTGAAAAAGACAAAGATGATAGTGATCAGCAAAAGAGAAAATACACAATTGATCCTAAATAGTGTGCAAATAAAACATTGTAACAGCTATCGATATCTTGGATGTCTTGTAAATAAAATGGGAAATGTGTCAGGAAATAAGTATTGAACAAACCAGATCGATGTTCAACAGGATGAAAAAAATACTGAAATTTCGAAATCTGAAACTTGAACTTCGTCTAAGGATAATGTTATGTATTCCCGATGATCCTTTATGGCATGGAAGATTGGACCATCATTTAAGCCCTGTGGGTGTGTACCGCAGAATGCTCAAAATCTCCTGGAGAGATCATGTTTCGAATACTGAAGTCCTGAGGCAAATGAATACCAACTACAATTGCTTTCAACAGTGAAGAGGAGAAAATTAGAATATTTTGGACATTGTCATGAGGAACGACAAATACCGACTCATGCAACTCCAAGGAAACCTCGAGGGTAAGACATCCCGGACGTCGCAAGATCTCGTGGCTGAAAAACCTGAGACAATGGTTTGGACGGAGCATGAGGTCACTCTTCAGGATGCTGTTTCTAAATTGCCAATCTTTGATAGAAGAGGCACGAGAAGAAGATTTGAATCGATTCACGAAAATCGAATCAATTCATTTTTTTTTGCCATCTCTAGAAAGTATATATCACGTTCTTACAGTTAAACTTACATTGATTGGAGTTTCGGCGTCTTCCGATGGTGAACTGTATAACAATAGATCCCCGTATTCACCGATGCACCACGTGGCAACCTGCGCCAAAGGCTGTTTGTCGGATGTGTCCTTTTCTAACGCGTGCCACAACGCACTAACGGCATAACCCTGTTGTGACTGCGTCTCCGAAATTAATTGTATCGTACACGCCACCACGTCATCTCGAACATAATTACCAGCCTGAAAATTAAAAGTTTTGAATATCGATAATTCTGTCGATATATTTCACATTATGATCCCGTAAAAATACACACCGCGACAAGTACTTTGAAGAGAGTTTCGAGATGCCAGCGTTTATTCGGAGCGAATCTCTCCGCGGACATTACGATATTGCTACTGCATTGAGCCTTGAATTCGGGATCGGCACGTTCCAAAAATAAAAGCAACTCCTTCATCATATTCCTGATATTGTTGGAATTGACGAGCGCAAAGCTTAGATCCATTGCACGCCTTCTGATCGATACGTCTGGGTCTTTCAAGCATTCCTGAGAGGATATTAATCACAATAAAATAACTTTATCTTCATGCTTGAAAAAGAAAATCTGTAAGTGAATATGTTACTAGTATTGTCGATCGATGCCTCTGCACCGCGCTGGTGTCCACGTAAACTGTCTTCAATAACGTATTCAGGGCCACGTATCTGATATTTTTATCGTTATTCAATAAAAATCTGCCCAGTATGTTGACCGCTAAGACTCGAAGCCCACTCTCCGACTTAATGTCCATGATCGAAAGAACCGTTTCATAAAGTATCGTGTTACCGACGTTTTTGCTGGTTTCCGTGTTAGTGGCGACTTGAGCAAGAATGTCGTTCATAGCTTCGGATGCATCGACGTCGTTACGTCCTAGAATACGTAGAAGACGCAATATCTTCACCTGAAGAAACGGATCTGATACTCCGGATACATCGTGCTCGGGCGAGTATCCGGCTAGGATTAGGTTCTTTAAGATTCTTACGAGATTTGGCACGATCTGCAATAGGAATCGTATTTATCTTTATTTAATTTCGAAGATCTGCTGTAGGACTTAATTTGACTATTAACATCGATTAAATGAAATAAGATTGATAGAACAAGTCGTTACAAGATAATGTACATACATTTTCATGTAATATGACAAAATAAGCACTATCTATTGTCTTAAAATAATATTTAAAGATCCTGATTTCCATTATTTAAGAGTAATTCTCTCGAATTACATCATTAAGTATCAATATAGACTATTTGTATTACAGATTTAATTAAATATATGATAAAAAAATAGGTAACTCAATTTCAATAAACAGACTGAGATAAACATGCAACTGTAGTATAAATAATGTCATCATGTAATTATTGATATGTTACATAATTATTATTATACTAATACCTCTAAACATATTTAAATAACTACCTCGATCGATAAAAAATTCATGTATATAAAAGATTTAATACATTTATAAATACAATACAGAGGATTTGATACCTCAATTATAAAAAAAAATAGCATGGCAAAGCAAATAATATTGATTTATATTTTTATTCTAATATTTAGTTCGAGCAAAGTAAAAGAAAAGAATGAAGTCTGTGAGTAATAAACACACATGCAAAAATACAGAAGAACCTTTATATGCAAATTACCTCACGATGGCCGCATTCCTAAGAAAGACAAAAATAATCAACGCTTATACTACATATGCTTATGTAATAATTTACAAGATGTTAATCATGTTATAAATTTCGTAAAAAAATATTACATGAATCTTATAATATTCTTCTATATACAAAAAAAAAGAAATATAAAAAAGAAACTCGCACATGTTTGTATCAATGAAACAAGCTAATTAGGAGCTACATATTTAAAGGAACATGTACATTATCAATGTAAATAAAAGAACGTTTTAAATTTCATATTATGCAAATATAAAGTGCAAGGAAATACTTCTTTCCTCCTAATATTTATAGATTCATATATGATAAAATCCATTGATGCATACCAGCAATAAAATATTCTTTCAATTAATTATTTCATATACCTATGTACCCGTGCAAAATTAAGACTGCATTCTTTTCCGTCACTATTGTTAACCGTAATTACTCAGCAAACACAAGTTTGAGTTTTTAATAAATAATTTCACTACGCGCTCTCTAGATATTCTTTTTAGCAGGTTTCTCTACTACCATACATACATTTAACTCGATGTATCAGCCATACTAGGTAGGTCATACAACAATCAACCGGTTACGTAATGCAACACTATGACTCGGAACGAATAGATTTATATTTATGACATGAAACTATGTTCTATAGAAACTTGTTCTAGAGCTAATGTACACCGTGTATAAAACAAGTATCTCTTAGATATACCTTTTTGAAATGATTCAGCGTATCAATGCTGTTCTCGCACATCTCCGTGATAAGAGTGACACCGGTAATAAGGACCCCGTGATTCTTTTCGGTGATTAGGCTGCGAGTGGCCGGCAAAAACATCTCCATCAACTCCGGTACGCGTCTGATGATCCGAAAAGCGCAGAGCGCTGCTTTCTTTCGGATGTACGCGTTCGGCGATTTCATCAATCTCTCTACCTCGGACGCCAGATCCCTTGCCATTTCCGGTGACGCGATTGCACCGAGAGTACACAACGCTAAACCGATGACAAACTGTGTGGAACTGTTCAAGTCACTGTGCAAACAGAAAGAAAAAACATTGATTCTTTTTTTTTTGTTAACATAGAAGTTCATATTTAGAACGCATTTTTATCGCTAAAAGTGTGCTCTTTATCTCTGAATATATATTATAATATGCGTTAACTATAGCATGTTGGTGCGTTCTGAATACAAGCCTCAGAGAATCGAAAATATTTGGCATCCGAAATAAAGCAATATTACTTTTTTAGACAATTCGTGATTAAGAGATGTACGTCTTGCCGCTCGTCTAGCAACAGCATGGCTCCCAAGTAACCAATTCGTTTGTCAGTGAATCTAGGCGAAGCGATGAGCTTTAAACATTCCAATTGACCAAAGTGCGCCGGATATCTGAAATCATCATCATTAATATGTTACACTTATTCTTTTAATAATGTCGAATTACAACACTCATTTTGATACAACTAAAAAACTGTTATTTATTTTAATTGTTTGCAAAGAAAGAGCAGAAACAAAAGAAAAAAAGAAAGAACATACTTTTGTCCTTTTATAATGAGCTATTATACCAAAATTGTAATGATTCAAAATATTTCTTCTTTTCTGGAAAACATAGTTTTTTTTAGTTGTGTCGTTGCTTTAACAACAATTGTTACAACAGACAAAATGAGTGAGAACAGTTAATACTTTAATACAAACCCCAGCATATGAATATACAGTAGTTTAGCGATATTACGACATCTCCACACACTGTCTTCTTCCCTAAACGTTGAACGAATATACGCGCATTCCTTATTCACAACTGTCCTCTCTTCTGCAGCTGTTCGTGCAGCCCGTATTTGTCTGATCAGATCCCTCAGCCGCGTCGGTGCAGGCATCCTAACTGTTGAGACTTTCAAAATGTGAAAAAGTTAGCAGTATAAATTGATACTATTTTTGGTAACCGCTGATTCCACTTGTAACTTTATATAGATATCAGTAGATTATCACAAAAATGTTACTGAGTCACAGTAATATTACAATGTATATGCGAAAATGAATCATAGAAGTAATAAGACATTATAAAAAAAAATTATTAATTATAATGTCACTTTACTATTTAAGATATTACATTCTCATAATATTACTGTGATATTTCGATGTTGGTTATCAACATGTAACATATCAGTAATATTTCTGTGATATCACTGTGATATTATGTCCTATATAAGACACAAATTTTTGATCGATATGGTCAAAGCATTCTCCATTACTTACAAATTGATTTTGATTAAGATGTATTTTTACTTTACACCTTATTTATCTTTTGTGTACCTGCATGCATGTGCGCCCGTGCGCGGAGAGAGAGAAAGAGAGGGGAGAGAGGGGGGGAGAGAGAGGGAGAGAATAGTAAACAGGCAGAATCAGATGTTCCAATAATTAGCTATTACAGCCATTGTTCAGCTATTACAGCTAAGTCAATTAAATCAACAATACACCTACCTCTTTCCACAGCCTCATTGAAAGCCTGTTTTATGGAGGCCATGTTAAAGGCTGGGTTAAACCTGAAAAAGTACACACCCATGCTGCTTTAGGACTGTTAGCACTCCTACTTGATGTTGAACCTACTTATCATGCAATGACACTTGTATTATACTCCGCCTAATCTTACTTCAACTAATTTCATATTCTGCAGTATAAGAAATGAGAATAAAAGCTGTGTCTCTGCACCAAATCATATTCACATTATGGGACAGATACAGTCTTGACTTGATAAGAGTAAATAGCTGCAATTTATTGCACTTTCTAGAAAAAAGTAATAAAAGCTAAGGAGAATTAATAAAATATTATTAAAATTGTTATAAAAATAAATATTAATTTTCAATAAAACATTTTAAATTTATTTTTTGTTAGATATGTTTTACATCAATTTGTGCAGGGGATGCTTTATACTTATGGCCAAGGCTGCATTTCATAATCAATATAAAAATGATAAACTATAACAAATTTTGTTTTAGAATTTGATTTTCAATGCTTATGACAATGTTAGAAATAGAAATAAGAAAGCTATGTTTACACCGTGCGCTTAATCCGCGACCTATACGATAGGTGTCTTTGTTTAACTTACAGGATAAACAAGGACATCTTTTCTGTATAGGCCGCGACCTAAATGCACGGTGTAAATGTAGCCAATGTGATCAGTCTTATTCCTATCCAAATTCAAAATTATTCTAAGTACACATATACTTCGTGAAACTGTATGATTATGCATTACCCATGTTCAGAGGCATTCATTGTTTCTCGACTTGAACTGTGAACTTATGCCAAATTTCACAATGAAAACCAAGCGCAGACGAATACAAAACACGAACTCTGCTATCCTCCTAATAGACACAGGACGACAATATTATAAAGCATATTAGTATCGTACTATGTTAATAGAACAATGTACCTATATCAAAGAGTAATTGATCTTATAAGCCTTTCATAGAATAAAAAATATGTTTAACACTTTGCCTTATTTCAAAAAGACACCTTGCAACTCTTGATAATTCACTTTACATGCCGCCTTTACAAATTATTTTCTATTTAAAATGTTTGATGGCTTGAAAGATATATTTTCACACTTCTCACCATTTGCAAGACAATTCTATACTGACAATTGTATACTGAAATTAATATACAAACATAATGCGTGATCATAGTTGCCTTTAATCACTGATTGTGCATAAAAAAAAACATGATAAAGACAGATGAATTTTATAAATTCCTGTAAAACCAAATTTCATATTAAAAATTTACTTTAGACACATTAAGCAAACTTTTGAACAAATTCTATTCAATATTTACGCTCCTTTCTATCAATGTAGATTAACTTAAATTTTGATTTACTCATAGCAAGCATTTTCCATTGTCCATCCAACCTAATCCAGATTTGTGCAAACCCGCTAAAGTAAAAAAACATAATTACTTTTTATGTTATTCTTAATTTATTTTTTTCTAATTGTAAGAATTGGAAAAAGATAATAAAGAAATTGGATATACAAATTATGTTGGATGAAACGCTCCTACATGATACATTTTTACACGAGATTATTTATCTACATGAATCTCCGATAAAATTCAACTAATGTATTAACTTTTTTAAATTACCATATCTCTACATTTTAATTTTTACATTCTAAAGCGGGGAGCACAGACTTTTGCATAACGCATAAAGCATGTGCATAAGGAATTTCATTGGCCCATTTTCTTATGCATGAGTCAATGGACCAATCAAATTCTTTATGTATATGTATTATGCGTTATGCAAAAGTCTGTGCTCCCCGCTTAATTCTTAAATCACCGATTTGCATATCGAAGAGGACCTTAACCAAAGGTTGAAATATTTGTCATACTACTCTTTATAATGAATAATTTATTGTACATATTAAAACATTTATCATACTACTGTTTATAATGAATAATTTATTGTACATATGACCATCCAGTGGTAGCTCTTATATATTATATACTTCATATTCTATAATTTCATTTTTGTAGAGCTAAAATTCATTGAAATTGTTAAAAATGAGATAAACTAAAATAAACTGAGATTAAAATTAATTCATGTTTATGAAGAAATGAGCTTTTCTATCAACATAATTTAATTGTAATCTTTTTCTGGATTTGACTAATTTTTCTATTTTCTCTTTTTTCTTGTTCTGAATTAAAAAAGGATGAAAAATAACTTTAATTTTGATTCAATTAACTTATATTTTTCTAATTTTTAGAACTAAAAAAAATAAAGAGTTAGTTGAATGTAGAAAATAATAAAAATTAAACCACATTAGTATATAGAAACGGACATAAGTTACTAATAAATTTTCTTTTTCAAAGGGGATCAAAAGTAAGAAAAGTGATATGAGCACTGGGATTATCTTAATTAGGAACTCATGAGTCCAAACAACTGATAACTGTATCGCGAATAGCATAACAAATACAATTGTATTTTGTACGTACATATATACACTCTATTTAAACTAAGCTTTATTAAATTTGACAGAATGGAAAATAGAAGTAGCTTCAAAGTACTTTCTTAAATAGGGTATCAGTTTTCGAGTTCTGTAGACACATGCGGATCCATTAGGTTTCGCGATCAACATCATTCGGCAAGAACGTGAAGAACGTACCGATCTCGGAATGCATCGGCGAATCGCGGAGGGGCACGGTAACGATTTACCTAATCGGAGCGTGATGTCACTGCTCGTGCGCTAGAATCCTGGTGATGTTGCAAATAGTTACAAAACACGAATAAATCATATTATAATGGAAAAATAAAATTAGAAATTTAGAGAGGAAGGTCGCAAGACAAGCATCGAGAGCCAAAGATTAGCTCACGGCAGCTGTCAAACATCGAAGCTCCATGATTGCAAATCCATTGGCCCTGAACGTCGCCACGGATCTGTCGGAAAGCCAGCCAACTTAGCCAACGACTTTCTGCGTGACGTGTTGCTGCTGGTTGCCGCGCTGGAACGTGCACGCGGCACGGCGACGAGGACGGAACAATTGGAAACGATACGCAAGCCTTCGTCTGCAACGGGTATTACCGCGGCCTGCAAGTCCTAAAACGAAGCCAACGTTCACACACTTTACGTGTTTACATTACGACTGAACGAAGGCTTACAATTAGAACAGCCGGAGTTCGAGTAAATTCAGTAAAATTGGCGCTTGAAGAATAAGCGAGTCCTCGGCTGGCTCGCAAACGCGAGCCGTGCGTTCTCACGTTCCGACCGTCGCGGTGACGTGCTCGAAATGCCAACCGGTCGTACCGTTTATTACCCGTCTGCGTGCTCGGTGCTCGATTCGAGACTCGGTACCGCGACGACGGCGACTACGTAAATACGTACCGTGCGGCACCATCAAGTCCCAATAAGGCGGAGACGGAGACTGATCACTAATTCGCGGCTGCGAGCTGCGAGCCCCATGAATATAGCTCTACTTGTGCCAAGTCTAATCAAGCCTACCTACTCGCTCACGCGCGCGCGTACACACACACACTAGCGCCACTGTACATACAGGATGTGTTCCAAAATTGACTGCCAGTACTGAAAACCTATACCCCCGTATTCATAAGCGGGGAGCACAGACTTTTGCATAACGCATAAACCATATACATAAAGAATTTGATTGGTCCATTGACTCATGCATAAGAAAATGGGCTAATGAAATTCCTTATGCATATGCTTTATGCGTTATGCAAAAGTGTGTGTTTCTCGCCTTAAGGTTGATTTATACTGGCCGTAAACTGTTAACTTATGCCGTAATCTGCAAAAATTGACCAATCACAGTCGAATGAGAGGGGAATAATCGATTATAATTGGTCAATTTTTACAGATTACGGCATAAGTTAACAGATTACGGCCAGTATAATCCAACCTTAACGCATAAACCATATACATAAAGAATTTGATTGGTTCATTGACTCATGCATAAGAAAATGGACCAATGAAATTCTTTATGCACATGCTTTATGCGTTATGCAAAAGTCTGTGCTCCCCGCTGGCTGCGTTCCGTTTCTCGCATATGCGCGCATTCCACTATAGTATACGTGACGCTCACTATATAAAATGCGCGCATATGCCTAAGGGTGCTGTCCCATGATACGGAAATTACACCGGAACGGAACAGTGAGACCAATCAGATCTCTGTAATCATTACTCTACTTTCCTTTCTGCGATTGTGATTGGTCTCACTGTTCCGTTCCGGTGTAATTTCCGTATCATGGGACAGCACCCTGAAACGGAACGCAGCCATAGTCAGACCTTATACTTAAGGCTTCCTTAAATTTATCTTCAGATGATCTACGAATTATTTTATTGGCTACTGAGTATCTAAAGATAAATTTAAGGAAGCTTTAAGTATAAGGTCTGACTATGAATACGGGGGATAGTGCTCGTGACGTAAACTATAGATTTTCAGTCTGGCAGTCAATTATAATGGGCCTTCTACAATAAGCCATTATCTAAGTTTTAAATATTAAGTCATAAGAAATTGACCAATCACAATCGAATGTGAGAAGAATAATCGACTGTGAGTGGTCAATTTCTTATGACTTAATACTTAAAACTTAGGTAATGACTTATTTATTGTAGAAGGCCTATGAAACATTGGTTGCGTTCATAGACTAAGGGTGCAGTCCCATGGAGCGTATCGCGCGTTCGCGGATTAGCGGATCGCCAATCACAGAATCGTTCTGTTAGATCTGTTTACAAATTTTGCAAGCAAATCTAACAGAACGATTCTGTGATTGGTGGTCCGCTAATCCGCGATACGCGCAATACGCTCCATGGGACTGCACCCTTATACTCATAGACTGCGCATCTCAACGGGCCGACTGTCGTCTGGACTAGAGAGAGAAAGCATGAGTGGTCGGAGCTTTGTCTCTCTCTAACGTTGGTAATGGTGGTAATCGTTA